AATGAACTGTTCTCATTGAAACTCTCCTTTACTGAAACTGTTGTGGAATGTGAAAATACTCCCCACTCCCGTTAGAAGATTGTGTATCAGGGACATCCTTCCAATAAATGCAAGGAGACAAACGCGCACTCTTCAGAGTTGCCCCGGAACCTGTAACGGTTTACATTGCAGAGCCAGCTGGAGAGCTGCTTTGAGATTGTGAACCGAGACATGTTTTAGCGCGCTCTCTCTTGCAAGAAAGACAACTATGCCTGCCTCCTGAGTCTTCCTGTTCCTGATGTGTTCTTAGCATCTGATTACCAGCATTAACCTAACAAAAGCAGCTGCACTCCTTTTGCAATACTGACAAGTATATAACTTGCTGTCAAAATTTGAGTCCTATGTTGTTTGGGATTATCGCAAACCATCTTATTAATTTGAAGTTGCTGGACAGTGTTATTTTTTGGAGTTCGATTTTCCCCATCTGAAAAAGTATGCTGAGTTTCTCTCCCGTTATTCCATCCATTTTTTTGCCTCGATCTTACAAAGGCACCTCCTTCTCTTTAAGCATGTACAAGTCATCGAGCTTGCACTGGTATTCCGGAAGTGTTTCTTTTTCATGAACGGAAAGACACACGGGAGATTTTTGAGGATATGAAGTTACTATCGAAATTCCTTCTTCCTTCTCTGTTTGGCCGAATCACAAATACAGTATACAGTATTGTCTTCCAAACTTAGCAATTTCAAATTTCATATGTTCCCACTTAATGCTGTATTTGTTGTCAGTATGGGATTCATTCCAGTATTTCTCGATAATTCTTTTGAATGTCAACTCTTACCTCTTAATTGTTTAAAATACCACTATTCATTTTCCAGTATGAATATCAAATAATCTTGTGAAAGACAATTGCTTGGTATATATCGTGACCCTTATCATCAATTACGGAGTGTAATCTGTTACATGCATTGAACATTGTGACGTGAGTCCAGGTTCAAAACGGTGTGATGATCTAAACAACATGGACAACGATCGCCACGCTCATCAACTTGGCCATTGTGCTGACCTATCAAGAAAATGTTTCGTCGACCAATGCTTCCATGGTGTTCTATTGTATCTTGACAATCGTGCTGCTTGTTTGGTGAGCTGATTGGCACCAACACAACATATGAAATACACTATACATATCCCGAACCACTCCCGCTCCCACAGTTGTTCTTCAAAGTCAAATAATTTCTTTTAGGTTTTTCCTGCAGAATGTAGTCCTGGACAAACACATACGCAACATCCTCATTGACTGACAGGAAACTACAACGCTGAATCGCCAAGCGCGAGTGGTATCCTCATTGGGAAGAAAGTACATTTCACAATAACACAATATTCCCAGAAGTGAGTATTTCAGTAAATTTTGACAGAGGGTCATTCACTTGCAGCGAGGCCACCTGCGTCTTTAGTCTGTCATTATTTCAAGCCAAACCAAAACTGCATTAGTCAATCTCTCAAACAGTCATCGTTATTTTAACCGCGCTTCCATCATCTCTAAATTACAGTTATCTTTTGAATCACAATTCTTCCTTGGACCATGAAAAGGAACCCTTAAGAAGAAAGGATTCAACCGTATGGGAACATTTTCATCACATATCGGCAAATCAGATGTTTCTTCTCACTTCTTTTTTCCCCTCAGTTATCACTTGATAACAGAATTCAAATCCATTTCAAACTAACGCTTATTTTAAATTATTTGTCTTTTTTAAGGGTGTATTTCTTTGACTGAACTTTCATTACATAAGTAATATTTATGACATACTTTATGAATATGTAATGTCAATTTATTTCGACCTTTTTGGCTGTGTCCATGAATTCGGGGACACCAGCCACATCTATGCCTTGTCTGTGGTTTCCAAAGCTAGAAAAATTGCTGAAAAAAAGTTTGACCTGACTGCCAAAACACTGGAAAACCTTTTTATTTTTTAAGTGCAATCCCAACAACCTCGGAGTGGTTGGTGGATTCCAAAAATGGACACTCAGAAAAATAGCGAAACAAAAATATTGATTTAAAGAAAAGCAAGAGACCGACAAAGTAAAAACAGAAATCGCTGACGACAAACAGCCAGGAAAACCCATAGAGAACGAAAAGCGCTTGCAACCGGCAATGAAAAATTTATAAACAAAAACCCACAAAATGAAATGACAAGAGTCCACACACACGAACTTAAAGCGAGTCAAAAATAACTTGACAAAAAGGATTCTTACAAAACCAAAAACTATCAAGGCAAAAGTGAGGATGTACGATCCAGGTGGTCAACAACCCACGGCTCCAGAGTCGCATGCGGCTCTTTAGCGCCGCCCTAGTGGCTCCCCGGAGCTTATTCAATTGAAAATGGAATATTTTTTGTTTTAATGTGGTTTCTGTCGGAGCAAAAACACGCCACAAACATTCTTAACGTTTTCCAATGCTGTAAAAATGTGTAGAATACATTTCAACATTTCTGACAACAAGGATTTGCGTCATAGCCTGCGACACATGTTTCTATGAGCAGGGCGGAATGCCAGGCAGGTGGCTGCTGCTGCAAAAAAAAAAATCAGCGTTTCGTGTACAATTCACCGAGTGTACTGGCAATGGAATGGTAATCTGGAGGGCAGAGAGAAGCATTTCAAAATGGTACACATGAGCTACGATCGTAAACACGCTGCAAAAGTGCCTCAGATCTCGACGAAGGTCGGTCAGCAAGTGTGTCTCAGTGGGTGCGTTTGCGCCCGTGTGCAGTCACGGGTCGATCGCGGGAGGTTGGTTGCTTGAAAAGTCGATCTTCGGTCAAAAGAGGTTGGGCAGCCCTGCTCTGTGGTATGCAAAGGAACCTGTGATTGAAATATAACTACAAAGTTTGACATTTCAAACATGATGCGTACCATGTGGTCAATATAATCAAACAATGTAGAAAGAACAATAACAAAGGGCAACCTTGAAGAACAGTTCTGTTGCATTTCACTTTTAAGTGAAATGCACATTTTCATTTCATATCTCCTTCAAATACATTCCCTGATTGAACAGCTTGAAAACAAAAAAGAAGACCTAATTTTCATGTCTGCAATCTTCCCTTCGATGTTGTGAAACCTAGGGGAAGCAGAGAAGAGTCAACAAAACAACCACATGACCCAAACCCTCTCCAGAAGCCGAAGAGCTTGTGGCATCCGTGCGAGCTCACTGACTCACCGGGTGACGGCTGCTGCGTCGTGCTCGGAAACTGGCTCAGAGTCAGACGTGGAAAGGAGCTTGGAATCCGAGGCAATGGCTAAGAGAGCAAAACACGACGTGAAATGGGGGGAAAAAAACACCAGTTGCACTCGTGAAGGAAGTACATTTGCGATGTCTCAATGACTGTGTCTTATGCTGCCCTCCTGTGGCCAAGGCCAGCACACCAGAAGGAGCAGCACAATGACCATTGAGTTGCTGCAGTGAGGAAAAAAAAGTTGAATTAAAAAAAAAAATCCTATTTCATGTCATTTCTGTGTGTTTTTAAAATGACAATATTATCGCGTGCTATTTTTCTGCTGGACAGATGACAACAATTTTTGTCAAAGTTTTGGATCATGGAGATCCTCCATCGACATCAACATTAACATTGAATAGCCGACTTTTCCCGACATATCAAGTGACTCCTGATTTACACTTGGGCGGCAAAGGCATAAATCAGACCTTCATAGAACTGCCCCGTTTTTTTGGATCTCAAAGGAAACCAAAAATGTTTTACTTACGCGCAGGCACTTGAGCGTCTGCAGCTGGAAGGAAAGAGGAACAAAGTTAGGATGACTTTTTGTCACAAGTGGCGCAAGGCCGCGATGTTCTCTTTGGATCTTCCCGGAAGACCAAATCTTGGCATCCCTCACCTTGTTTGGTCCTGCCATGCTTGACAAGGACCACCGCCAACCCCGCTGTCAACAGAGCCAGGACCCACAACGAGACAGCGCTGGCCACCAATATCTCCTTGACTTGTTCTTCTTCACATAGCAACAAAGAGTATGCGATGAAGCGAAACACGCGCATGGCTTGTCCCGACACAAATCGGTCACAGTGGCGACGCAACAATTCAAGTGAGTGCGCGGCGGTCACCTTGGATGCGCGCGTTGCTCAAGATGCTTCTGCTGTCCAGCTTGACAACGACGGCTTCCTTGACGCCGGCCAGCTGGAACACACATTCGTACTCGCCCTCCGCGTCGGGCGTCACCTCCACCCTCAGGTGGGCCGTGGTCTGGAAGGTTCCGTCGTGGTTGGGGAGGAGCTGGACCATCTCCACGTCCTCATGGAGCTCCTCGTCGTCCTTCCTCCAGAAAAGGGCCGATGTGGCGGGGTAGAAACCTGTCGCGTGGCAGGTGACCGGAGAGGAAGGCGTCTTCTGGAGGAGAGACACTGTGGGAAGCTCTGCCCACCGAGCGGCAAAGAGGGAGCGAACGAGTGAGAAGATGAAAGATGGAGGGGAAAAAATAAATACATTTGAGAGCATGTTGTAATGACGGTGTCCTTCCTAGGGGAGGTGTGCGAACATGACACAAATGTACCTGTTCTCATCAGGAAGTCCTGCCCATTAATCACATGGTTCTTCAAGAAGAAAGGACATATCTCAGTAAGGGAATACTTCTTGTGTTCATTCAACCCGACTTGGTCCAACTTGTTTTTTGTTATGGAAGCTTGTGGATGCGCCGCGATCCATCTCGTTGTTCTCGGCTCAAATGAGATGAAGTCTTCGCTGTCATAACTGTAGTGTTCCCAACCATCCACTTCACCGGTTTCCTCATCCCATTCACAACCATACATCCTCTGGATCAAGTGAACTCCTGAAAGTGTCACACACACGATGAACAGAGCGAAGCCAAGCGATGACGTGTGTGTTTATTAGAGGGTCGGGTTGGGCCTAAAATGTCGGGTCGGGCTGGGCTTCTCTCTCGCTGACTTTTTTTTTTTGTTTTCGTTTCGAGGCCGTGAATAGTTTTGGCCACGAGAGACCGTGGTTCGCAAAAAAACAGAAGTCGCCTCATCACAACACGTACTGTACTAAATTCTTGCAACGACAATTCAAAGAACTCCTTCCAGTCTCTGTCGAGTATCCACCTGTCATTGTTCGTCTTTGTCTCTCTGCTTATCTCTCTTAAAGTGCCACGCTAGATTCTTAAGGACGTACTGCTGCTGTGGTTAATGGCCCAATTTTCAAACCGTCAAAATGACGGACGGCCTTAAATTTTCGTCAATGATGGAAAATTGTCGGTTAATGCAGGGGTCCCCGACCGCCGGTCCGCGGACCGCTACCGGTCCGCAGGGCATTTGGTAACGGGCCGCACAGAAAGAACTTGCCTTATTTCCGTTTTATTTATTTCGGAATAAGAAAGATGTTTTATTTTGAAAAATGACCGGATTCTCCGTTACATCCGTCTTTGTCACGCTTGACTCACGTCAAGCCACGCTTCTCGGTCACGTGACCGATGACGCTCAAACACAAAACGCTGAAGCCCGCAAAATGAGTGAAAAAACTGTTGGAGATCACAAATGACGGCGGCCTTAAAAGCACGTTCGAGACAACTGTATTAAAGTTGTGGCTGAATACTCTGAGATCGCCACAATAGCACTGTTGCTATTTCCGACATCCTACCTGTGTGAGGTGGGGAGTTTCTGCAGCAACGGCGACTAAAACAAATTTACGAAGCAGACTGGACATAAACCACACACTTGAGGTGTCATTGTCTCCTATTACCCCGAGATGGGACCGTCTGATTGCAGAAAATCAAGCTCGGAGCTGTGGTGAGTCGTCATTTTTCATGCACTTTGAATTTGCGTTGTATCGTATTTTGAAGGGATTAAACATGACCATAGCGATAAGAGTGTTGCGACCAGATTAGACGCTCCTTGTGTTTATTATTATACGCTCCTTGTGTTTATTATTATGTTTCGAAAACACCACAGTTTTCATGCAGCTCATACCATCTTATTTTGTTGTATTAAACCTTAAATGCCGGTCCCTGAAAATATTGCCTGACTTAAACCGGTCCGTGGGGCAAAAAAGGTTGGGGACCCCTGGGTTAATGTACCCTCTGCAAAAACAGAAATACATGTTTAAAAGATGTAAATATTTATACAGACTTGTTTAACTTAGATTTCGTGACAAAAGACAGGCTTTAAATTGTTATCACAAATCACCCCTCTTTCCGAGTCATCACAAATAAAATAGGAAATGTCGGGTTTGCTTCGGGCTCGGGCCTGCAAATCAAATTAATTGGTAGGGCTCAGGCCGGGTCGGGTTTAAATACCAGCGGGCTGGGTCGGGTCGGGCTGGGTCTTTTTGGCCCGATCTTACCTCTAATGTTTATGAGTCGGGGCACATCCGATACATTATACGAGCGGAAGGGTGAACGGAAACTAACCTCCAGTGTGGTTGAAGTGCTCCTTAGCGATTTCAATGTTGACTTTGGACACCTGCTCATTGACAATGTTATTCTCGTTCTCTCGCTTCCAGAATTCTGGATCCTTTGCTGTGATATTGTCCACCCAGTCCAGTTTGGCTTTCGTTTTCCTGCTGTTGCTGTCAAAATGCAAAATCTCAACGTCGTCAACATACGTGACCTCCCAGTACTCTGGTAGCTTTGCAGTTTGAGAAGATGATGTTGTGAAACCTTTGAGTGTGTGCATCACTGAAAGAAAAGACAAGAAAATGAAAGGAAAATGTTACTCATTTCTTTCGTATGAAGCAATCTTGTCCTATTTGTATTTCAAAAGATTCTGTCTGCAGGTGGAACATGGACACACTGTTAACACGCCCTTCTTGACCTTTGAATTCATTTCATGTACTGTATATCTAAGCACATTCGTACTCACAACCTTCTCAATTAATCTGATGACCCACGCTCTCAATTGATTTTATTTTTATGACCTATATTTGTCCATCAATATGAAAGATGCCAATGTGACACCCGATGTGATATTTTACCTTACACACCCCTCGTCAGTTATTTACATATACTTCCAAAGGAAATTGAAGGACAATTTCAACTCCTAAAGGCCAAACAATGATAAAATATAAATTCAAATCATTTCATGATCATTTAAGATGGAATAATGAATTTAATAGGATTAATCATCACCATGCGGCCTCCATGATTGGAACAGATCTATTAAAATAAATTTGTAAATATAAGAAAAAGTAAGAGAGATCATGATCATCCATTATTAGAGCAGAGTAAAAGCAACACACAAGAAATATGGAAAGTATGAAATCATATCAGAAAGAGTTCTAAAAAAGCTGACTACCCAGAATACTTTATTCAAGATGAAAATACTGTTATTGAGAAAACTGCAGAAATAGCAAATGAATTGAATGAGTATTATGAAAGTATTGGTTGTAACCTATCAAAAAAAAAAGTAAATCCTGAGCTAATGAACACGTTTGAAATAGATAAATACGTAAAAAAAAATCTTCCACCATGCCCCTTTGTGCTGTAAATCATAGAGAAGTATGAAAGAATGAAAAACAGTAATCCCTCGTTTATCGCGGTTAATGGGGACCAAAACCACCCGCGATAAACGAAAATCCGCGAAGTAGCGTCCAGTTAACATAAACAGGTAAAAAAAAATATTTTTTTAAAGTCCGCAAACGGTCCGCGAGAAGCTGCAAAACAACAGCGAGTCACAAAGAGCAACTGATAGATTGATTATTTTTAGTTATCATACATTCGCTTATTATTAATGTTATTATTGTTATTTTGATATTGATTGATTGATTGATTATGCTCGCAAAGAAGAAAGCTTATGCCTGCAATGATAAATTGATTATGCTTGCAAAGATGAACGCTTATGCCTGCAATCATTAATTGACTATGCCTGCAATGAAGAACGCTTATGCTTCTAATAAAGATATATTAATCATTATGTACTCACATTTATAATCCTTTGTATTATATTTATATACTCACATTTATAATCAAGAATGCTTAGTGCACTGTGTGGAAGAATAAATAAGGGGGTGAAGGGGGAGATCGTGAGGGGTGACGTGCCGAGAACTGAAACCGAACGCTTCTCCTCGTTCCCTCCTGGTACCAGAATTGAGTCTCCTGTCTCCTCCTTGTGTTTTATTCCTGAGTGTCAAATTGGATAAACCTGACAATGGCCTTAGAGATGAAGTTCAGGAGAGAAAGCTGACTGTGTTGACAACAGTCAGAAGAAATACGACAGAAATTCCCGGTGAAATTCTGAAGATGCAGGGCAGACCTCTGCATTCCTCAGCATTTGTTTTCACTGAGAAAGCAGCAGTTGTTTCATCCTGCCAAAAGAAAAACAAAAATGTTCTTGTAATTAGCACAATGCAGTCAACCTACAAGCACATTATCTGAGCACATTTTGGCCACCTGGGGGGAGGAAGGTCCAAGAGACGAACTTGATGAAGCCGTTGAGCATCAAGGCCACGCCCACCATCGCCATGGAGGGTGTGCTGAAACCTGAGAGGACAAGAGTCATTTTTGAACTGCATCTGAATCTGATCTTAAAAAAAAAAAAAAAAAATCAGATTTCCAGAGGAAACATTACATCGTATTACCAATGACTCTGAGCTGGCAGCCACGCTGGCAAGCCACGTACACCCGGTATGCTCCGGGACACAGGTAAGCTCCCCTCCGCCGCCCAGGTCCGGATCAGAGGTGTTGAGCTCCAACTGGGTGTCCTGGCTGAAGGTCCCAGGCCTGCCTGTGACGAGTGAGGCGACCGGGTCCCAACGACCTTTCAACTGCCAGTTGAGCTCCAGGGAAAGGGGAGTCCACTGAGGCCTCGCAGCGGACTGTCAAAGTCTGCCTGGGAGCAGTGACAGGCAACGAGGCCGGGTGGTGAACAGGGAAGGAGGTTCTAGAAAGGTGGAAGTGGAGTTGTAAACCATGCGTGTTGCCGTTCTGTTTTCATTCATGTCTTGGATGTGTGCCTTGGAGGGTGCGTGGCCAAGTAGGTGACATCAGCCGGTTGGTTTGAGTCACGGCGTGTTGAATCATGGCTGACAAAAGCTCCTGGTCAGTGGTCCCAGCATGGTTATAACAACAGTTTGGGATTTTTTTATGACAGTTCATTTTGATTTAATTATTGACTTTTGCCATTCTGGTGCAGCCCCTCAAAGTCCAGTATGGCGCCTTCCTCCGGCGAGTCAGAACATCCGGTCCGATTTTCCGTCGTAAGCCAGAAACAGTCGGCCGTTGCTTCGGTACGGGTAGCGCTACTCCACGGCAAAGCCAGAGCCGTAGAGGGGCGAAGCAGGGTTGGCAAAGAACTGGCAGTCCAGCAGCACTTCTCAAGTTTGGACTGCACCACCAGTGTGCTTGAGGTCACGCTGAGAACCACTAAGGAGGGAAACAGAAAGGGATGAGCCTCAGAACTTCTTCAAGCGACACAAAACCGCAGCTGGTTGGTTTTGATAAAAAGTGGATTTGTGGGTTCAGAATGTCTTGATCGATTAATAATTCGGATTGCTTTTTTTTTTGTTTTGAGTTTTAAAACAAACAGGGAGTGTGTTTGTTTTGCAGGTGTTTCCCCATATTTCCACACAATAGGTCAAGTATGGTCGTAATAATGAACAGTATAATGTGTATAAGGACCTCTTATTCAGCACATCCTTGTTTTTTTTAAAGGATATCCCTTTGGTTTTTGATATTTTCCTTTTAACATTAGCTATGTGTGGCTTCCAACGTAGTTTTGTGTCCATTACAACTCCAAGAAATTTATTTTCATTCACTCTTTCTATTTCAATTGAGTTTACTATAATTTTTTCTTGGTGTTTCATTGTTCTCGTGCTAAAAATAATTATCTTTGATTTGTTTAGGTGTAGTGATCATTTATTGATGTCAACCCAGTTTTTTAATGTTGAATTCTTTTTTCACAGTCGTCAGAAGCTGTTTCTGATTTTCTCCAGAGCAGTAGAAAGTTGTGTCATCAGCAAATAAGACACATTTAAATCTTATCTAGTTCTTCCCCTTGTTCTTTGTGAGTGTTACTTTCGTTAATATGAATAATGTAATGGGTCATTCATTTACTATGTCTCATCTCAATCTGAAAAGAAAAGGAAAAAGGTCTACATATGTGTGACGGGTGGTCTCTCTCTCTCTCTCTCTCTCTCTCTCTCTCTCTCTCTCTCTCTCTATATATATATAGATATATATATATATATCTATATATATAGATATATATATATAGATATATATATTAGTGCTGTCAAGCGATTAAAATGTGTGATTAATTAATTAGGGTCTGTAATTAATTAATCTAATTAATCTACATTTTAATCTCATCTAAAAATTGCTGAGAAAACCCCTATTTTCATTTTAAACTGTTACATTATTGAGGCAGATCAAAAGATAAAAGAAAAAGTGGCATTATAAAGTATTTTATTGTTTTTCAGCAGACTTGGACAGATGCAGTCCTTGCCATTTACTTCCTGCTGTGTTTGAGACGAGTCAAAGTCCTACCTGCCACCTTGAGTTTCAACCAGGAGGGGGAATATCAGTGTTTTTTTTGTTTTTGTATATAATTCCAAATAATTACAAAATAAAAATAAAATAGAACATCAGGTCCTTCAAAAGTGCTTCGGTTAACATATCAAAAACAGTAAGAACAATTTTCTCATAATAATAATAATAATAATAATAATAATAATAATAAATACATAAAACAGACCCTTAAATCACAGTGCTGTAAGTTAGCACTTCAGAAATAACACTGTTCATCATGACAAACTAAAAGCGCTGAAATCAACATCAATCACTTCTAGTGGTCTACAGAGGACACATCAACGCTTTCGGTGCTAACGTTAGCTGTGGCTGCACTCGCAACTGGGCGCTTTGCATTGATGTGGGAGGCTAAATTTGAGCTGCTCCGATGGTCCGCAAACTCCTTCTTACAAATTAGGCACAACACTCGAGCTTTATCAATTGTGTCGTCAGGGCGCTTTGGAATGTAAATTTTTCATTCATTGTGCCGAAAACTCTCAGATGCTGCTCCATTTTCACCCTCCACTCCTCACTGTTTCTAACTAAACCCACCCAACTCCAATCGGAGCTTATCAGCTTCGGCTAAACAAGCCCAACATCATGGCAGCCAATCAATGTCCGCTTCAGGCTGTGACTGACAGTTGTTTCTCAATTCTCTCCAACTCAAACACAGGAAGCCAACATAAAAAAGGGCTATTAGAAAAAGGCAACCTGTAACGACGCCACTCGATTGAAGCGCGACTCAGCAGTCAATAGTCCGCTGCTCTCCACAAAAAATTCGAAGGAGTTCGTGGTTCGGAAAAAGGGCTAGCTCGCCACTAAAGAGATTTTTGGTCTCTTTATAATCACACTGGCTAAACCCCAGTGGAAGGAAAAAAGACGTGGACAGGACAGCTATTGTTTGTCGAAAAATATATGTTTGGAGAGAAAAAGAAAAACCTACAGATGACAGAAAGAGAGTGTGTCCGTCCGACCTCGAGCGTTGTGTCGTCTCAACTCACTAGCTTAGCTGTTGTCGTGGCTAGGCTAGCTTAGCTCTTGTAGATCAAAGCTCTTTGATGTGTAATGTCCGTTGCATCAGCACTGTAAGTGGTTGAAGCCAAAAGATGTGCGTGCGGACATGTCCACGCTGATGCACACACAGCGGAGAGCAGCGGACTATCGACTGCTGAGTCGCACTTCACTCGAGCGGCGTCGCTACAAACCCACATACAGAAACAATGAAGGCAGAGATTAAAATGCAGGTTAATACAATTTTTAAAAAAATGCACTCAATGAGCTGAAATTAATTAATCACAATGAATGTGATAATTTGACACCTGCAAATGATTGCCTTTATTTTTTATTTTTTGAATTTTTTTTTTTTTATAAATCAAACAACAGTCCATGATTCAGTTTTTGCAAATTCAAGCACACAAAACGCCTTTTCTGGTTGAGTGAACGCCATTAATTTCTCTATAAGGATTCTTTATACCACTTCTTTATTAAAGACAAAAAAATCAATAGCCTTACAAAAAACTTAAGGCCAACAAAAAAGTTTTTTTTTTTTTTCCCCCCATCAAAAATTTAAACAAAATAACCAGAAAACATAAAACAAGGAGACATTGAGCCCCCTGCTCACCGCCTAAGGCGGCGAGAGAGTTGGGTACCCGGCAGCTAGGTGTTAGGTTCCGAGGTCGGCCGGGTCACGATGGCACCGGCGGAGAAACGGCCTGGACTAGAGTTGCGTAGACTAGGCGGACGGTGCGTCGACGAGTGCGCGGACGCGCGGGTCGGCGGGGTGGGCGGTCCGGGAACGCCGACGGGCGCCTGACCTATTTAGTTTTCTCTCCGCTCCGGACTCGGGGGGGCGGGGCGCGCCGCCGCCTCCGCCGTCCTCCTCCGCCCTCCTCCGCCCTCCTCCGCCCTCGGTTTTTACTCGGCCCGTGGTGTTCATCAAATAGTTCGCTGAATTTTTTTGATACATCAATGGATGCTATTTTCTTAACATTACGGTGCAAGCATGCAACTGTAACACAGAAAACGCGGTTTAAACTGTCGTTGGAAATTGCGGCCGACGCCATGATTCAATGTTGTTGACAGACGACAGGGCAAACGACGCACACGCTCAACGTGAATATCGCGAGAGTTTGCACCGATGTAAACGCTCTACACCAGGGGTGTCCAAAGTCGGTCCTGGAGGGCCGCTGTCCTGCCTGTTTTCCAGCTCTCCCAGGAGCAACACACCTGATTCACATCATCAGGATTGTTCTAATGCTGCTCCAGAGCTGGTTGATGAGCTGATCATTTGAATCAGGTGTGTCACAGCTGGGAGAGCTGGAAAACAGGCAGGACAGTGGCCCTCCAGGACTGACTTTGGACACCCCTGCTCTACACAAAAATGTAGAGGGTTGTTTGAAAAAATGTTGTGAAGTTTTTTTTCGACGTAGAAGTTCTCGGTCGGTCGGGTTGCCGGAAACACACTACTTTTTTCTCTCCGCCTAATGTAATTAGCTTCAAAATGGCACGACTTTTATCTGACTACCATTCATACTTAAGGAGATATGGGGACTTCAAATGTGCCCAAGACTTTTGGAACACCCCGTGTGTGAGTATGTGTGTGTGCATGCGTGCGTGTGTGTATATATATATATATATATACCATACTTTAATTGTTGATTTCAATGAGTTCAATTTAAAACACAGGGTTTTCGTACGACCCAAACCATCCATTTTTTTCTTTTCAGAGCAATAATTCACTTAAATTAAATCCGATTAAAGACAAAAAGAGAAGCACAACTTCAATAGGAAACACACTGACAGCCAGATGTGACCTTTCCACAATAAATATATTGTCATCATTGGATACATATTTGCCTCGCAGATTTCTTCCCTTCGCGTCATGTTGTCGCGGAGGCATCGTCATTAGTCAATTCGCACGTTTTACGCTGACAGCGACAACCTGCTACCAGCTGCCGTGCTCCACTTAAATGTCTCTTGTCTTCCCATTGCTTCCCAAAACAAGCTCGCTCGATCATAGTCCTTTGGGCTTAAGATACCAGAACCAGAACCACAGTACATAATGGACACAAATCTCACCGGGAGCCTTGCAGATGGTCTGACAATGTAAATACTTCATACAAGACATTTTCAAAATGACACAACAGGTGCGAGAATGCGGGTAATAATGGACATGCTTTGTGATGGAACGGTCGGGAATTGCCGTTCTTTTTTCAATCAAGAGTGCTTTGCATTTTTAATGAAGATGATCGAGATTCAAATCATAACTGAATTGATTTTGGATCAAATCCAGTGCTTTGAAGTAAGTGGAGCTAAAGCGTATGTCTGTTACTTTTCTACCAGCTCACCAACGATATATTTCACACTTTTCTGCAGTTTGGCTCAAAATTAGAAACAAATTCATTTTGAATATTTTCCCCGCAGGACAAAAATCATGACTTTTTTTTTTTTTTTTTTTTTTTTTTTAATATTATTCTTTGAATGATGGACACCACCCGAGGGGTGAGACGAGGATTTTTTTTTATTTTTTTTTTTATATAAGCCAACAAGCAAGTCCCGCCCGATACTACGGAATAACTCTGTTATTTCCTCTCATTGGATCTAAAACGGCGACATGTAAGTAAGTCAGTCTATTGGCATGAGTTTTACTGGAATCGCGAACGATTTTCTATTTCATTCATTTTCATGTACGTCCTGTCGATCGTGGCATCCAAACGAAAAGGAACGGTAATGACCGCGGAAGAGAGAGTGGAATGCATCCGATTAGCTGCTCAGAGTAAATTGCTTGTGGCTCAACTGACAGTCGAGTAAGCAAACATTTACTTTGTTTTACCTGTTATTGTGCTAAAAACCTTCCACGAACTGAACTGCTAATTTGAGAGAAGGTAAGTTCCATCGCGCTAACTATAGGCATAGAGGACTCAAACTACAGTACATGAAATAAGTTCAAAGGTCAAGAAGGGCATGTTGTGTGTGTCCATGTTCCACCTGCAGACAGAATCATTCAAAATGCAAAATAGTAAGATTGCTTTACATGAAAGAAATGAGTAAAATTTTCCCTTCATTTTCTTGTCTTTTCTTTCAGTGATGCACACGCTCAAAGTTTTCACATCATCTTCTCAAATTGCTAGGCTACCAGAGTTCTGGGAGGTCACGTATGTTGACGGCATTCAGATTTTGCATTTTGACAGCAACAGCAGGAAAACGAAAGCCAAACTGGACTGGGTGAACAAAATCACAGCAGAGGATCCAGAATTCTGGAAGCAAGAGAACGAGAATAACATTGTCAATGAGCAGGTGTCCAAAGTCAACATTGAAATCGCTAAGGAGCACTTCAACCACACTGGAGGTTAGTTTCCGTTCACCCTTCCACCCGTAAAATGTATCGGATGTGCCTCGACTCATAAACACTACAGGTAAGATCGGGCCAAAAAGACCCAGCCCGACCCGACCCAGCCCGCTGGTATTTAAACCCGACCCGGCCTGAGCCCTACCAATTAATCTGAGTTGCAGGCCCAAGCCCGAAGAAAACCCGACATTTCCTGTTTTATTTGTGATGACTCGGGAAGAGGGGTGATTTGTGATAACAAATTAAAGCCTGTCTTTTGTCACGAAATCGAAGTTAAACAAGTCTGTATAAATATTTACATCTTTTAAACATGTATTTCTGTTTTTGCAGAGGATACATTTACCCAGGGGTCTCCAACCTTTTTTGCCCCACGGACCGGTTTAAGTCAGACAATATTTTCAGGGACCGGCATTTAAGGTGTGGCGGATTAATACAACAAAATAATATGGTATGAACATTGAAATCGCTCAGGAGCGCTTCAATCACACTGGAGGTTTGTTTCCGTTCAACCTTACGCCTGTAAAATGTTTCGAATGTGCCCCGACTCATAAACACGCAGGTCACCGCTTGGCTTCTCTCTGTTCATCGTGTGCGTGACACTTTCAGGAGTTCACTTGATCCAGAGGAGAAATGGTTGTGAATGGGTTGACGAAACCGATGATGTGCATGGTTGGGAAGACTGCAGTTATGACGGAGGAGACTTAATCTCATTTGAGCCGAGAACAACGAGATGGATCGCGGCGCATCCACAAGCTTCCATAACAAAAAACAAGCTGGACCAGAACGTCGGGTTGAATGAATACAAGCAGCATTCCCTTCCTGAGTTGTGTCCTTTCCTCTTGAAGAACCATGTGAGCAATGGGCGGGACTTCCTAATGAGAACAGGTACATTTGTGTCACGTTAGCACACCTCCCATAGGAAGGTCACCGTCATTACAACCTGCTCTGAAATTTACATTTTTTTCCCCTCCATCTTTCATCTTCTCACTCGTTCGCTCCCTCTTTGCCGCTCGGTGGGCAGAGCTTCCCACAGTGTCTCTCCTCCAGAAGACGCCTTCCTCTCCAGTCACCTGCCACCCGACAGGTTTCTACCCCGCCACATCGGCCCTTTTCTGGAGGAAGGACGACAAGGAGCTCCATGAGTACGTGGAGAGTGGAAAGCTCCTCCCCAACCGCGACGGAACCTTCCAGACCACGGCCCACCTGAAGGTGGAGGTGACGCCCGACGCGGAGGGCGAGTACGAATGTGTGTTCCAGCTGGCCGGCGTCAAGGAAGCCGTCGTTGTCAAGCTGGACAGCAGAAGCATCTTGAGCAACGCGCGCATCCAAGGTGACAGTCATTGAGACATCGCAAATGTACTTCCTTCACGAGTGTGACCTGTTTCCCCCCATCTCACGTTGTGTTTTGCTCCCTTAGCCGTTGCCTCGGATTCTGAGCTACTTTCCTCATCTGATTCTGAGCCAGTTTCCGAGCGAGAGGCAGCAGCCGTCACTCAATGAGTCCGTGAGTTCACACGGACGCCACAAGATGTAGAGGGTTTGGGTAACGTCGTTGTTTTGTTGGCTCTGCTCTGATTTCCCCAGGGGTCAGAACATCAGAGGGAGGATTGCAAGCATGAAAATCAGGTCTTCTTTTTTGTTTTCAAGCTGTTCAATCAGGGAATGTATTTGAAGGAGATATGAAATGAAAATGTGCATTTCACTTAAGTGAAATGCAACAGAACTGTTCTTCAACATTGCCCTTTGTTTTTGTTCTATCTACATTGTTTGATTATATTGACCACATGGTACGCGTCATGTTTTAAATGTCATACATTGTAGCTATATTTCAATCAGTGGTTCTTTTGCATACCTCTTGAGCAGGGGTGCCCAACCTTTTTTGACCGAAGATCGACTTTTCAAGCAACCAACCTCCCGCGAGCGACCCATGATGAGCAACAGCCATAACGGCCCCGAACTTGAACAAAACAGAAAAATTAAGTGGATACACAGTGATAAACCTACAGTTTGAGCCCTGCTAGTCCCAGGGACTCGCTGATCAGAAAAGTATGAGTCCCATTATGCATTTTGAGAGTCCCAAATTTCGAATTCTGAAATGGTCTACTTATTCAATTGCATATGATAATAACACAAACAACAATATGCATTGATAATAGGTTTATTTCTTACAAACAAATGCTGCAAAAACGTAAACAATTCAGGCATACAAGATTTGCTGAAAAATAGGTTCTTATTTCATCCCATGGTTCAGTCTTTGAGTTCATAAATTCTCCTCTCTTTAATAATAATAATAATATAATAATAATGCATTTTATTTCAAAGCGCCTTCCATGCCACCCAAGGACACTGTACAGACAATAAGAAAATACAATGTAAAAATTTGTAAGCGAGATATTATATAAAAAACAGGACATAAAATCATAAAAACATTGGGAATGGAAGAGCTATGTGTTGTAGGCAATCCTGAACAGGTGTGTTTTTAGACGGGACTTGAAAGTGGAGAGAGATGTGCAGTTTTGGAGATCCGGAGGTATATTGTTCCAAAGCTTTGGAGCAGCGCGACTGAAGGCTCTAGCTCCCATGGTGCTCAGGCCGGCAGGGGGCACTGACAGGTGGAGGGAGGACGAGAATCTGAGGGAGCGAGTGGGGATATGCACCTGGAGAAGGTCGGACAGGTAAGGAGGGGCCAGGTTGTGGATGGCCATATATGTATATAGGAGCAGTTTGTAATTGATGCGATGTTGAACAGGAAGCCAGTGGAGCTGTTGGAGAACGGGGGTGATGTGCTGCTGGGAAGATGTTTTTGTGATGATGCAAGCAGAGGCGTTTTGGACCAGCTGGATTTTATGGAGGGACTTTTGAGGTCGGCCGAAGAGGAGAGCGTTACAGTCATCAAGGCGGGAAGTGACAAGACTGTGGACAAGAATAGCAGTGGTGCGGGGGGTGAGGGAAGGGCGAAGTCTGGTAATATTGCGGAGGTGGAAATAAGCAGTGCGGGTGATGGTGTTGATATGTGAGTGGAAGGTGAGCATGCTATCCAGGATGACACCCAGACTCTTGACCTGGGGGGAGGGGGACACTGAGGAGCTGTCGATGTTGAGGGAGAAACTGTTTAGTTTAGATCAAGTGGATTTGGTGCCAAGGAGGATTTCAGTTTTATTAGCATTTAATTGAAGAAAGTTTGTTGTGAACCATGTTTTGAGTTCAGAAAGGCAAGAGGTGAGGCAGGCGGGTGGGAGTATGGAGTTTGGTTTGCAGGAGAGGTAGAGCTGGGTGTCATCAGCAAAGCAGTGGAAGTGGATATTAAATTTGCGGAGGAT